GTCATCTAGCCCAACCCCCTGCTCAAGCTTAAGAGACCCTATCCCCTTTCTCTCCCGTCTCCTCTTCAAAACCTCCAGGGTCGCAGCACCCACAACTTCTGGAGGCAGGTCGTTCCGCTGGTTAACTATTTTCCCTATCCAGAAGTCCTGCTTTAATGGGGGGGGGTCTTCCTCTTCCTAAGGAAGCCTGAGCCCCCCCCCACCCCCCAAAAGGGGGGGGATAGGATTTAGGAGCGCTTGACTCTCCCGTCTGAGCCCCCCCCCTCCCCCGCGAGCGAAGCGGCGTCCCCCGCTCTTCTGGCCGGGCAGCTCCGCTCTGACTCGGCGGCCCGGCGGCTCCCGGGGCGGAGCGCGCCGCCGCCGCCGCCTCCCCCGGCTGCTCCGGGCGCTCGGAGCGGAGGCAGAAGACGGAGGAGGAGGAGGAGGATGAGCCGGGCCGGGTGAAGTAAAAGCCGGCTGGCCTTGGGGAAGGGGCAACTCCGCCGTGGAGCAGCCAGCAAAGCGGCTTCTGCAAAGCGGCGCCCGCGGGGGGCAGGTCGTCGGAACGGGCAAGTTGGGGGAAAGTTGGGGGGACGGGGGGGGAAAGCCCCGTTGTCTTGAACCCGCGACTGGCGGACGGAGCCCCGGGGGGGGGTTCCCCATCCACAAGCCACGATGCTCGGAAGCAACGCGGTGGCATCTCGGCTTAGAGAGAGAGAGAGAGAGAGAGGCGCGTGAATCCGGGGTGGGGGGCGCTCCTGGGTCCGCTTGGCTTGACTCGGATCTAGCCCGCTTCGTGAAGAAGAAGGAGAAGGAGAAGAAGAAGAAGAGGAGGAGGAGGAGGAGAAAGAAGGAAGGAAGGACGGAAGGAAGGAAGGAAGGAAGGAAGGAAGGAAGGAGAGGAGGAGGAGAAGGAAGGAAGGAAGGAAGGAAGGAAGGAAGAGGAGAAGAAGAAGAAGAAGAGGAGGAAGGAAGGAAGGAAGGAAGAGGAGGAGAAGGAGAAGAAGAAGAGGAGGAGGAGGAGAAGGAAGGAAGGAAGGAAGGAAGGAGAAGAAGAAGAGGAGGAGGAGAAGGAAGGAAGGAAGGAAGAGGAGAAGAAGAAGAGGAAGGAAGGAAGGAAGGAAGGAAGAGAAGAAGAAGAGGAAGGAAGGAAGGAAGGAAGGAAGGAGAAGAAGAAGAGGAGGAGAAGGAAGGAAGGAAGGAAGGAAGGAAGAGGAGGAGAAGGAGAAGAAGAGAGGAGGAGGAGGAGAAGGAAGGAAGGAAGGAAGAGTAGAAGAAAGAAGAGGAGGAAGGAAGGAAAGGAAGCGACAGGAGAAGATAAGAGGAGGAGGAGAAGAAGGAAGGACAGGAAGGAAGAGGGATTTAGAAGAAGAGGAAGGAAGGAAGGAAAGGGAAGGGAAGGAGAGAAGAAGAGGAGGAGAAGGAAGAAGGAAGGAAGGAAGGAAGGAAGGAGAAGAAGAAGAGGAGGAGGAGAAGAAGAAGAGGAGGAGGAGGAGAAGGAAGAAGGAGGAAGGAAGAGGAGAAGAAGAGAAGAGGAGGAGGAGAGAAGGAAGGAAGGAAGGAAGGAAGGAGAAGAAGAAGAGGAGGAGGAGAAGGAAGGAAGGAAGGAAGGAAGGAAGGAAGGAAGGAAGGAAGGAAGGAAGGAAGGAAGGAGGAGGAGGAGGAGGACTGGCCGAGGGGATGGGATCTGCTGGGAAACCACTTTCCACCCAAGGCGGGGTGGGGTGGATGCTGGGGGGGGGGGGAGAGTGAGATCTGCCTACCTAGAGCGCTGTTGGCAACTTGATTTATTTTTATGGATTTCATTAAATTTATTTGCCCCCCTCCCCACCCAATCTCCCCACCAGAAGCCAGTGCCCTGGCTTCCCCTCTCTTCCTGGGTGCCCCACGAGGTGCTGCTTGCCCCCTTTTAAAGCCCTACACCGCACAGGGCTGGGCTCACCCCTAATATCCACCCTCCCAGGTCAAACAACGGTGGGCCTGGCCTTAGCCCCTTCCCCTAACTCAACATTGCCCCTGGGTGCAAGCTGCCCCCTCGCCCCCCCCCCCAAGCACGCTGCAGGTCTGGGCTGTCTTCACCTCAACCTTGGGAAAAACCTGGCTTTCCTCCCCCCCCCTCCGCCCCCCCCCAGCTGCTGGGATGAGGTGGGATGGCTGCATATTAGGAGCTTGACTTGGCACGTATTTTTAATGTTTTAACGTGTTTCGTTTTGTAGTTTTAATACGGGTTTTATTAGGTTGTTGGGAGCCGGCCACAATGTGTTAAAAGATGGGCAGCTAAGTAAATGTGCTGTGTGTGTGTGTGTGTGTGTGAGAGAGAGAGAGAGAGAGAGAGAGAGAGAGAGAGAGAGAGAGAGAGAGAGAGATGGACAGACAGATGGTGGGAAGGGAAGGGGAAGAAAGGAATGGAAAAGAGAAAGGGGAAAGAAAGGAAGGGAAAGGAAAGGGAAGGGAAGGGAAGGAAAGGAAAGGAAAGGAAAGGAAAGGAAAGGAAAGGAAAGGAAAGGACTCCCAGTATTTTGGGAGCATGCTGGCTGGAGAAAATTCTGGATATTGTCCACATATCTTAAAATCTACTAACATTGAGAAATTCTGCAGCAGAGTGACTACAAATTCTGTGCTGCACGAGGTTTCTTTAAACAGTGGGGTAAGGCTAATTAGATGCAGTGGCCCTTTCCCCTGGCATCGGAAAATGGGAGTGTTACATGGCCGTACTTTGTACAGTTTAATCAGGGGTGTGTGTGTGTGTGTGTGTGTGTGTGTGAGAGAGAGAGAGAGAGAGAGAGCAAGCTCTGTTTTGCTTCAGTGACAACCAACCATTGTTAGATGCTGCTCAGTCCTGTCCATGGCCTTCCACCCCCTCTTGGACTCCCAACATATTGCTTGCTTCCCTTCTGCCTTTCTCTTGCAACACATTCCCCCCCCCCCCCATGGTGGCTCAGGGGTCAGAATGCAGTATTGCAGCCTAATTCAGCACTATGAAGTGGTATATAAGTCTTAGGGCTTGGGCTGCCTGCCTGCCTGCCTGCCTGTCTACCTACCTACCTACCTACCTACATAACATTCATCTATCATCTATCTACCTACCTATCTACATTTATCTATCATCTATCTATATCTATCATCTATCTATCTACATTTATCTATCATACATCCATCTATCATACATCTATCTACCTACCTACCTTTATCTATCTATCTATCTATCTATCTATCTATCTATCTATCTATCTATCTACATTTATCTATCATACATCCATCTATCATCCATCTATCTACCTACCTACCTACCTTTATCTATCTATCTATCTATCTATCTATCTATCTATCTATCTATCTACATTTATCTATCATACATCCATCTATCATCCATCTATCTACCTACCTACCTACCTTTATCTATCTATCTATCTATCTATCTATCTATCTATCTATCTATCTATCTATCTACATTTATCTATCATACATCCATCATCCATCTATCCATACCTATCTATCCTACTATCTATCTATCTACTATCTATCTATCTATCTATCTATCTATCTATCTATCTATCTATCTATCTATCCTATCTATCTATCTATCTATCTATATCTATCTATCTATCTATCCATCTATCATCCATCATATCTATCATCCATCTATCTACCTACCTACCTCTATCTATCTATCTATCTATCTATCTATCTATCTATCTATCTATCTATCTGCTGTAGTGGCTCAGTGGTCAGAATGCAGTATTGCAGCCTAATTCAGCACTATGAAGTGGTATATAAGTCTTAGGGCTTGGGCTGCCTGCCTGCCTGCCTGTCTACCTACCTACCATTCATCTATTATCTATCTACCTATCATCCATCTATCTATCTATCTATCTATCTATCTATCTATCTATCTATCTATCTATCTATCTATCTACATTTATCTATCATCTATCTATCTACCTGTCTGTCTGTCTGTCTGTCTATCTATCTACATTTATCTATCTATCTATCTATCTATCTATCTATCTATCTATCTATCTATCTATCTATCATCTGCTGTGGTGGCACAGTGGTCAGAATGCAGTATTGCAGGCTAGTTCAGCTCACTGCCCGCATTTCGACCCTGACCAGCTCAAGGTTGATTCCGCCTTCCATCCTTCCAAGGTCGATAAAAAGAGGACCCAGATTGTTGGGAGGAGGGCAATAGGCTGACCCTGGAAACCGCTTAGAGGCGGCTATACAGCACTGTGAAGCAGTATTGCCTCCTGCTTCAGCTTTGCCTGATCTCCTTCTGGATTCGGCCTTGGCCCTCTTTCCGAAGAGTGAGAAACAGCTTGGCTAACTCCCTTTTGCTCCACCCCACACACTTATTTCCCCTCTCCTGTGCCCACAACCTCTTCCAAAGGAGGCTGAACCTGCAACGCCCGACCCCTGCCTCAACTCATTCAGCCCTTTTCAGTTTGGGAAAGCAGTTGTGGTTCTCTTCCGAAGGGAACGAAACCGGGAGAAATTCGCCAGCCTCTTCATGCGGGGTGTGTGTGTGTGTGTGTGTGTGTTAAAGGATTTGGCAAAGGGGACAGTTGTGGGGCCAGGCCAAAGGCAGGTGGCAGTGGTCAGCCACAAAGCTGTCCATCCTTGCAGAGGGAGAGGAACGAGCAATCCGGAAATTAAGGCTCCTTAACGTCTTTTTCCGAGCTGGTGGAGGGGACAGATCAAATCCGGTTCCACTTTTACCCCATTAGGTGTGATGTGTGAGGAACCATGGGTGGCGCAGTGGTTAGAATGCAGTACTGCAGGCTACTTCCGCTGACTGCCAACTGCCAGCAGTTGGGCAGTTCGATCCTGACCGGCTCAAGGTTGACTCAGCCTTCCGTCCTTCCGTGGTCGGTAAAATGAGGACCCGGATGGTTGGGGGCGAGATGATGACTGTAAACCGCTTAGAGGGGGCTGTAAAGCACTGTGAAGCGGTATATAAGTCTAAGGGCGATTGCTGTATTCAGAAATGGAAAATCATCTCCCTTGTTTCGTCATCCTTGCAGAAAAGCCAGCGGTCCCAGTCCAACGAGGACTGCTTCTTTGACCTCCTAAGCAAATTCCAAAGCAGCCGGATGGATGACCAGCGCTGTACTTTGGAGGACTCCCAGAGAGAGTCAGATGAAGCAGCTGCTATGCCTGTCCCTGCCCTGGAAGAGACACAAAGTAAGTGGGCCACCAGCTTCACTGAGCCTTGCTCCCTGTCCGGTGCTGGGTTGTTGCACCACCGCAATGATGGCAAACCTTTTAGAGACTGTGTGCCCAAAAAACGCCCCCTGCCCCGGCTCCATCTTCTGCCCTGCCTGCTCCACCCCTGTCTACCCCCTGCCCCACCCAGCCACAGGACCACGCACTGCCTTCATGGCCCGCTGCAGCAGATCGCCCAGGCAGACCTGCAGCACCATGGCAGCCACGCCTTCCATCCACACCCCGCAGCACCATCTGCACGCTACGGGGCACAAGGGCAGAGTCTTGTCTCTGCTGCCCGGCTATGTCCTTGGCTGTACTGCTCCATGTGGGCTGCGCCCAGAGACGACTCTCCTCCAGGGGGGTTGCTGGTGAGGAGGGGATCGCGGGGGAGGCAGGGCCTGGGTGACGGCGTGCGTGCCCACAGAGAGGGCTCCGAGTGCCGCCTCTGGCATGCGTGCCATAGGTTCGCCACCACTGTTGTAGGGAGTTACCAGCAACCGGTTTGCACAAACAAGCAAAGCTCCATCCGCAGGGTGCCGGCAGCACACAAAACCACACTCCCTCCGGTCCGCGGAAAAAGCTACATGTAACCCAGTGGTTCTCAACCTTTCTAATGCCGTGACCCCATAATACAGTTCCCCATGTTGTGGTGACCCCCAAGTGGGTGTGGCCACCAATAAGAGGGAGTAGGACAGCTAGGGAAAAGGGGAAAAAATGGCGGACAGCGTGGGTTGGCGACCCCCGTGAAATGGTCGTTCGACCCCAAATGGGGTCCCAACCCACAGGTTGAGAACCACTGCTCCAGATGAACTTTATCGGAGAAACCTCTGCTCCTGTTTTTAAAAAGAGAGGGTGTTGGGTTCTGCAGAGCTCACGGGGGGTGGGGGGTGGAAGACACTCCCCAAAAGGTTCAGCAGATCTTCAGAAGGATGCTGGCTGGCTTGCTCATCCCTCGTCTGGTTTCTCTCCCAGCTCAGTCCATGGCCTCGCCACAAACCGAGGAGCTCTTTGACCTGATTGCCAGCTCTCAGAGCCGGCGGCTTGACGACCAGCGGGCCAGCGTGGGGAACCTGCCCGGCCTCCGCATCACGCCCGGCAACCTGGGCCACCTCCGCATGGACGGTGAGGCTGAAGAGCCTGGCGACGAATTCTTCAACATGCTGATGAAGTGTCAGGTGGGTTTGCTGCTCTCCCAGCCGTCCTACCACCGCTGGGAAATCCTAATAATAAATGGGAGGGAAGTTCAACCTCTGCCAATCGATTGGAACAGAGCTGGGAGGGGCCTTGGAGGTCTTCTAGTCCAGCCCCCTGCTCAGGCAGGAGACCCCAGACCATTTCACACAAGCGACTGTCCAGTCTCTGAAAAACCTTCCGTGATGAAGCACCCACAGCTTCTGACGGCCACAGCTTCTGACGGCCTTCTCTCTTGCACCAGTCTTTTTTTTTATATAAATACGTTTTTATTGAAATTTTTTTAAAATTTTACAAAAACAAAACAACCCTTCCCCAAACCTCCCCAACCCTCCCATTCCCTCCCCCGACCTTCCCAGAGCTGAATATAGGCTTAATTAAAAAATTTTCAAAAAATCTTTAAAAAGATATAAACCATGAGTAAATCTAAATACATTAATTAAACAAATTATAAAATAATTAATAATATATATAGAGAAAAACATAAATACCAAAAAAAATACTTAAAAGGAAAAAGAATAAAGAAGAAAAAAGAAAAAGATAAAAGATAAAAGAAAGTATAATAAAAGTAAAAAGTAAAAATAAAAAGAAAGTAAAGTCTATAAAATATTTTAAATTTTAAATATTAAATATAAGTTATTAAAAAACTAAGTAATATTTTTTTATATCCAACTTATGTTGTATAAAATCTATCCATTTTTTCCATACTGCAAAATACTTCTCTTGCGATTAATCCTTCAAAAAAGCCGAAATCTTTGCCATTTCCGCCAAATAAGAAACTTTAAAAAACCATTCTTGCAAAGTAGGCAAAGATTCCTTCTTCCAACATTGCCCTACTCATTGCACCGGTCTTCATATTCCCCAGGTGAACTGCTTTAAGGTTACTGCTTTGGCCTTGGCGCTAAAGTCAAGGTTCAAGCCATCATTTAGCTACAGTGTCAGAATCCAATTATATTTCATCTCTAGTTATCGACTATGGAAAACCCCATTTCTGCGCTCTCTGGATTCTATCATACGATGAAGGGGAAGGGGGGTGGTGAGCAAAGGGGCTTTATGGCCCTCACTTCCTTCGGTACAACTTCAAAAGGATTGAATGTGGATACCACCAAAAGGACTAACCATAACAATGGGGCCATCAGCTTTCATCTACTCCCCTCTGAAATCTCCCTTCCGCCTGCAGTGAGGAAAAAGGGGTGGAAATGTAATGCCTGGGATTGTCACTGGAAGGATGGTGGGGTGGGGCTGCTGGGGACCCCTTAAAACCTTGAACCGTAGGGCTTGGGCCCCAGGTCCTGTCTAGAATGCCTGCAACCATTTTCTCTTAATAAAGGATGCCTGTTGGAAGAAATATTCCAAGAGTTCTGTCTTCTTAAGATGCAAAGTGGGGTGGGTCCTTACATGCAGGGTTCATTGGGGGATTTTGAACCACTTGCTTCCTTGCAGCTAAGTCTACCTCACAGGCTTGTTGTGATGGAGATGGAATTAAGGGGAAGGACATCCCAACATAGGCCATTTTCAATAAAGCAGGCTATAAATGCAGCAATGAAGTAACATATAGCTGTTCAGAGCAGTCTGGCCCAGTTCGTGAGAAGTTGTGGCCAATTTTCATCTAGTACCGGGCACATCTTTGCGCAGCCTTTGGTGGGACATAATGGGATGCCAGTCCAGAAGCACCAGGGACTAAGCGCAGGCTGGGCACCATGTCCTCCTTCTGGAGAGCTAAGCATGAGGGGACAATCCTTTTCCCGTTTTAGGGAAAGATGTTGCGGTGTATGGTTTCCCCTGCCTAGCTGTCAGTTTAGCACATCAAACGCTGTCTAAATTACATTATACCCGTCCTGCTTTCTCATGCTTTTTCTCCCAAGATGCTCAGCGCAGCATGGGGGGGTTCTTACTGCCTCGCACGGAAGTCTTCTGACAGCCTTGCAAAGCTGGCTAGCAAGGAAATCTGCCTGTTGGTATCTTCATTGGCATCCTTCGGTCTTGAGAGACTATAGTATGTTCTGGAAAGAGATCCTAAGGCAGCATCTGGTGTGGCTAAAAAGGCCAATTTGAGAATGGCAGTCCCTTCCACACTGAGGGCAGATATAATCCGTCCCCTGTCCAGCCCCCAGATTTCGCTGGTTCCGGGACTGCCTCTTTGCCTGCCGCACAAGTGTCTCTTCGAATTGGAGAAGGCCATGCTGCGTCTTTAGCCTCCAGGCTGAACGATCAGAGGTCAAGGATTCCCAGCTGTTAATGTTCATTCCCAAGGCCTTTAGGTCCCTCTTGCAGTTATCCTTATATCGCAGCTCTGGGGCGTTTTCCGTGCACTAGTTCTCCATACAGGAGATCTTTCGGGATCCAACCATCAGCCATTCTCACGACATGCCCAAGCCAGCATAGACGTCACTGTTTCAATAGTTGTATACATGCTAGAGATTCCAGCACATTCCAGGACTGCGCATTCCAGGTGGCGCAGCAGTTAGAGTGCAGTACTGCAGGCCACTTTAGCTGACTGTGTTCAGCAGGTCAGCGGTTCAAATCTCACCGGCTCAAGGTTGACTCAGCCTTCCATCCTTCCGGGGTAGGTAAAATGAGGACCCAGATTGTTGGGGGCAATGTAAATATATATATATACATTGTTACTGGTGTACACCGCTTAGAGAGTGCTTGCACTTAAAGCGGTATATAAGTCTCATAAATAAATAAATACATAAATAAATGTGCTATCCTAGAGAGCAACCGAATAGAAGACTCCTGCCTTGGGTGAGGTTCGCGTGCCTTAAGTCATGGATGTGGTCTTTTCTTTTGCTTCTCTGCAGTCCTCCCGCCTCGACGACCAGCGCTGTGCCCCGCCCCACTCCATGCCCCGTGGCCCCACCGTGCCCGACGAAGACTTCTTCAGCCTCATCCAGCGGGTCCAGGCCAAGCGCATGGACGAGCAGAGGGTGGACCTGGCTTCAGGCGAAGACGATCAAGGCGAGGAGCAAGCACCAGATCAGCAGCAGAGACCCAGCTTCAGTTAAGCCAGAGCCAGCGGCCAGCGAAGGGAGGACTTCAGCCCTGCCCCCAGCTGAAGGCCGTGGCCCTCAATGGATTCCTGGGGGCAGTGGCTCCCTTCTGCCCTTTCTCAGCCTGGAGAAAACGGCAAGCAAAATGGATGGGCGCTTTCTCCTGTGCCGATGGACCAATTGGGCAGGATCGGTAAGGGCGAGGCATCGTCTCTGCGCAAACACCAAGCGGTGAAAACCAGGCTTGAGAACTGAGGAAGGGGGAGGTCTGCACCACGGAGTCTGGATCAAGGCCAAGCCCTAGAAGTAGCAGAACAAGGGTCTGCTTTGGGATTTGACCCCCCCCCCCAAGTCAGGTTGATTTATGCCTCTGCCTCTTTAGGTCCACATCCTGTGCCAAATTGTCAGCCGACTGGGGAACATAAATTGAAGATGACAATCAAGGGATACGTGGGCAAATCTTGTTTTCAAAAGATGCTCTTTTTTTGTTGTTGTTGCCGCACTTTGATCTCAGGTGCAATCCGAGGCTAGTTGGAAAGGTGCTGGGGAAGAGGCAGACGGAAGCAAGCATCCAGAGCCAAGATGTAAGGTTTCTGTTAGCCAAGGGAAATTGGGACACCTAATTACAGAGAGTATTTGACTGATGGCCCTCATTGATTTCAGAAGTGTGTCAGGTGGCCGTTTTGATCAGTGACTGCAATCCCGGCTCTCCCCGTTGTGGTGATCGGACAGGTTATTAAGCAGAGCTGGGGAGGGGAGATCCAGCACAGACAGTAGTGATCCCGGTACGCAGAAATCTTCTCTGCAGGCCAGGCCTGTCAGCTACAGGGCTCCCTGGGGCACAGAAATATGCCACGGACTTTCTGCCTGCCCCCTTGGCTGAGTGTAAGATCCAGCCGCACTTATAAATTGCTCCACTTCACCTTCCCAGTTTTCTGAACCTCTATACAACTAGATGGCTCGGCGTAGTTGGCAGCAGTTCTTAAAACAAGGTGGGATGCGACCACTTTGCTCAAAGGCTACAATCCCGGCACTCCTGCTTGTGGTTAAGTGACGGGTCATTAAGTGGACTGAATCCCAGGTTAGGTGTGCAGGGGTGTCTTAGGAAGGATGGGGGAGGGGGTCTCGTGATAGGCCGTGTGCAGAAGTTAGCAGATGCTGCAGCGCATCACAAAGCTTGTATCTAGCCCACTAGCACTGGGAGGTCCGGCCTGTTAACACACAAATTGCCCCCCTTTTGCCATTTCTTTGCAACTACGGTCAAGTGTGCCCGGCCCGTGTTTGGCAAGGCCTTCTTACCAAGGCTGTCGTGTGCCTTCTCCGTGTGGTCTCCGATCCCGTGAGCCTTCAGAAGTTCTTGAAGCCTTGCAGATTTTTGCATGCTCACGGGCCAGAGGGGCAGAGATGTGATCAGAAAGAGGCAGGTGGGGCCTTGTGGACGGTCATAAGGTGTGGCAGGGTGTGGAGCGACGAATTTTCATTATGTGGCCAAGGCCATTGACAAGGGCCATAACTTCAGGGTCAAGGTCCTATGTTCCTTCCTTCAGAACTGTCAGAACGAATGGTTAAACGTGGGCTACCTCCATAGCTATTGCAGTCGTCACAAAAATAAGATACTGCAGTGAGCCCTCTCTTTTAGTAACCAGTTGAAGGATTTTCAGTTAAAATAATAAATATATTAGACAAATCCCGGCCCTCTTTTAATCTGGTTTCCTTGAAGGTGGAGAGGTAAAGTTACTGTTCTTTGCTTATCATGGTTTGTTGATTTGGCGCTTATTCCTCAATTTAATCGACCACTGTGGAAACAGACAAAAGTTTGTTGCCATTCCCCTGGGCAACTGGATATTTTTTTCCTGGCTTCCTTACTTGTTTGGTCCTTTCAAAACTCCTGCCTTCTGAAGGAACAGCCTGCCTCCAGAAGCAGTAAATGCTCCAACACTGGAAGTTTTTAAGAAGAGACTGGACAGCCATTTGTCCGAAATGGTGTAGGGTTTCCTGCCTGAGCAGGGGGTTGGACTAGATGACCTCCAAGGTCCCTTCCAACTTTACTACTATTACTATTACATACGACTCACAATTGAGCCCAAAATGTTTGTTGCCAAGTGAAACATTTGTTGAGTGCGTTTTGCTCCATTTTGCCATTTTTCTTGCCACAACTGAACCACTGCAGTTGTTAAGTTAGTAACCCGGTTGTTAAGTCAATCTGGCCTCCCCGTTGACTTTTCTTTGTCAGAAGGTCCCCAAAGGGGATCCCGTGATCCAGGGACACTGCAACCGTCATAAATGGGAACCAATTGCCCAGTGTCCGAATTTTGATCATCTGACTACGCGGATGCTGTAATGGTAGTGTGAAAAACAGTCGTAAGTTCCTTTTTTCAATGCTGTTGTAACTTTCAGTGGTTACTAACTGTTTTAAGTTGAGAGCTACCTGTATTCTATGATGGTCCTCCCCCCCCCCCAAAAAAAAATCAGGAGTTGGTTCCACGCTGCAGCTCCTGAAAGCTCCTTTTCATAAAACGTGTTAGAATACGTCAGTGGTGACGAACCTGTGGCACGCGTGCCAGAGGCGGCACTCCGAGCCCTCTCTGTGGGCACGTGCGCCATGCCCCAGAGATGGCAACTGTCCCTCTTCAACCAGCCGCCCGCTAACTCACCGAGGTCCTATGTGCCCAGATGCATCCCAGCATGGCTGGTTTCCCTCCCCACCGTCCCATCCCTCCTGGCGTCGCGTGCTCTCCTTTTCCCGGGCACGACCCACTGCATCTCCTCCTCAGCTGTCGGCTGCCCGTCCAGCTCAGAGGCGGCTTCTCTGAATTGCTGGTGGCAGGCACGGAGCTCCAGAGTGTTCCGGTCGAGGGGCTGGCAGACTGTGGCTGCTGAAGGACACTGTCAGCCCCCATGCGCTCGCTGGCCTCTGTGTATGGGGGCCGATGGAGTCAGGCAGCAGCCATCCTGGTACCTGCCTTGCCTTGCCCTGCGACGTTACCCACACTCTGCCTCACCTTACCCCACAGGACGAGCCTCCTGCCCACCGCCCCACCTGCCAGAGATCCCCTGGATCTTCCCCAACCCTGCCCGGCCTCCACAGGCGTCCCTCCCCATGAGCAACGTCAAGGTGACCATGCCCACCTTGGTCACACCCAGTTTGCCATGACCACTACAGTTGCACCCACCCAGTGGGCCATGCCCACCTGGCACCTGTCGATACATAAGTGGGTTTTGGGTTGCAGTTTGGGCACTCGATTTCTAAAAGGTTCGCCACCACTGGAATAGGTGCTACCCAACCCCAGATTCTTTGAACGATTGGAAAAGCTCTCGAGAAACGCTAAGGTCTCCAAGTCCGTTTCAGTCCAGTTCACTCTCTTGAACTGCAAATAAATGTCTTCTCAGCAAAACCATCTTTGATCACATCCTACGAAACGTCCAATGGTGGCGACCGTGTCCCGACTCTGAAAGCTTTCAAGGGATCCCAAATGCCCCTCCTGGTCGTAGCCACCACCAGAAAGCGTTTCTCCTCAAAGAGTCCATGGACAGTGGGGAGGGGGCATGCCCGGGGACCCGGCTGCCGGTGCAAACAGCCCCAGCCTTTGCTTCGGGCCGCAGTAGGGCCGCAGTAGAGGTCTCTGTGCTGTGAGGCCAAAGCCCCACTCCAGTCTCTGCGGCAGAGAGGAAGGTCAGCTGGTGGAGAAGGCCAGGCCCGTCCCTCTCTCCAGGCAGCAGCAGAAGAACAGGGCAAGAGAAAAAGCTGCTGCTGGGATCGCCTTGGCCGGTTTACTTGAATGTATCACTAATTTATTGTTTTTGAAGGGTGTCGCTTGCGATTTGTTGAAAGGGAGGATGGGGAAAGGAAGCAAAAATTTTTTTTAATTCTTTTCCTTCCTTCTGAGACGTCGAAAGAGCTGCCAAATTAATTCAAAAACAGATATCTTGGAGTAGAGAGAAAAGAAAGTTGTTTAATAAACTTTTGTGAGCAAAGTTCTTTGGAAATTGTTTTCTCCACCGTCCAGGACTAATACAGATGTCGGAGGGGGACAATCGAAAAGGACCGGCTGCCTATACATTAACGCCCAAAGTATGAAGAGTAAATAGAGTGAACCTGAAGTCCTAGTTCATGGGAGCAAGTATGGACCTGCCCCAGCGGACTGCCCCCCCCCCCAGTCATAAGGGATTTGCCCAGCGCCCAAATTGTGATCACACAATGGGAGGGGCAGGTGTTGCAGTGGCCATAACTTTGGGTATAGGTCATAATTCTGAAAGACTCACTCTAAATCAGACATGTCAAACACAAGGCCCGGGGGCCAGATGCGGCCCGCGAAGTGGTTTCATGTGGCCCGTGAAGCCATCCTGGAAACAGTGAGGGAACGGCCCCCACTGCCTTGGCCCTGGCCCAGGCCAGCCAATGTACAATTTTGCGGTGGCCATCTATGCTGAAACGCATTCAGTCTTAGCGCCACAAGGCCGTCTGGAAACAGCGAGGAACCAGCTCCTGCTGCCTCAGCCCCGTCCCCTGGGTGCATGCTGAGGTGTCATCCTTTGTGAGGAATGAGGAAATGCACCATCGCTTGGAAGTGGTCAGCAAATGGCCCTCTCGTACTTCACATATCCGGCTTGATCGGCTCCGGCAGAGGGGTTTCGGCAGGCAGCGGGGCGCTCTTACAGCACCGAGAGGCTGAGCGGGGCAGCGCAAATCCAAAAAGAAATGCAAGGCTGCCCAGCTCCCAGCCTGCCCAGTTTCAGCAGGCAGTGGGGCGCCCTCCTCCCAGTGAGGGTCCTCCAGTGGACCATGCCTTGGCGCTTGCCCCGGTCCCACCCCCTTCTCCCAGACTCTCAGATCTGTCCCACTCCTGCCCAGGCCCCCGCAGGCACCCTTGATGCGAACGATGTAGAGCTGGCCATGCCCACCCAGTAGGCCACACCTACCCCATCCACACCAACCCTGGCCACATCCACCTGGCCCCCCAAGGGCAACCGCAATGCAGCCCTCACTGAAATTGAGTTTGACACTCCTGCTCTTAAGTTGAGCTGTAAGCTGTATTTGCAGCATTACTGCCACACGGTCGGGAGAAATAAAATTACTGTTCAGGAATAAAAGCAGTCTGAGTGATGGGTGTTTCGCATTGTGAAGATCCTGGGATGGGGGGCTGAGCAAAGCTACTATGGCCTTAATTATGTCGTGCACATTTGGGAGTACAAGGTCGGCATTCTCCTTCAAATACACAAAGTTACACAAAGCTTTGTCGGCCTTAAGAGAATCTCCTGTTTCTGCTAAAAAGCTTTAAAGGGGATCATTGAGGGCATCCAATTTAGAGTTTCAGATATCTGGTGATGGTCTTACATGGTGCTTTCAGAGAAGCAACCTAGAACTAAGGAGAAACTTCCTGACAGAACAATTAACCAATGGAACACCCTGCCTCCAGAAGCGGTGAATGCTCCAACACTGGAAGTTTTTTAAGAAGAGACTGTCCGAAATGGTGTAGGGTTTCCTGCCTGAGCAGGGGGTTGGACTCGATGACCTCCAAGGTCCCTTCCAACTTTATTATTATATCAAACAGGGAGCAACTCTTTCACACCCACAGCAATGAAGGGCAAATTAGCCCTAGATTCAGCCATGACACACGTGTTCCAATTAGGCACCGAGTAGGGTGATCATTTTAAGTCAATTTATTAGAGTATTATAGCAAAGAGGTTTTTCTTAATGAAAAGAGGGAATCCAGGACACAGAACTGAGTTTCATTTTACACTCCATACAGTAGAAAAAGTACAAAACAAGACTTGATTGGATGGGAGAAATCATCCTGCTCAGTCACATCAGAGACGTGGACAGTAACATCCCATAATATTAAGCCTAACTGACATGAGCATTGCATGTCAGTTATGCATTACATTGCATGTCAGTTATGCATTACATTGCCGAGGTGGCGCAGCAGTTAGAGTGCAGTACTGCAGGCCACTTTAGCTGACTGTGTTCAGCAGGTCAGCGGTTCAAATCCCACCGGCTCAAGGTTGACTCAACCTTCCATCCTTCCGGGGTAGGTCAAATGAGGACCCAGATTGTTGGGGGCAATGTAAATATATATATATATATACATTGCTTACTGGTGTACACCGCTTAGAGAGTGCTTGCACTTAAAAGTAGTATATAAGTCTCCTAAATAAATAAATAAATTAAAAGGAGAACGTTCACACGGGAAAAGGCATCACGAGTCACATTAGGTTGTGGAAAGGTACAATTTCAGCCAGATAAAACCTGTAAAAGCACGTACAATTGGAAAAGTCTTTTATTGTTCACCCTGAGAAAGTCCCTTATTTGGCAGTTATTATTTACCCTTATCTTCTTCACTCAACCATCCTATTGGAATTATATGATCGTCATTCTGTTGCTTTGTATGTACACGGAGAGCTAGTGCGCTTGAGACAAATTCCTTGTGTGTCTATTCACACTTGACCAAAGTAAGTATGCGATTCAATTCCTGAGATAAACACTGTGACTGAAGGTCTTCTCACATTCAGGCGTATTTATCATTTTTGTCTCACATGAATTTTTTGATGTCGAGGTAGGCCTCTATACTCAGTAAAGCTCTACCCACATTCAGCCTTTATTACAGTGTTTCTCAACCTTGACAATTTTAAGGCATGTGGACTTCAACTCCCAGAATTCCACAGCCAGCAATGCTGGCTGTGGAATTCTGGGAGTTGCAGTCCACATGCCTTCAAATTGTCAAGGTTGAGAAACACTGCGTTAGCACAACGTGCAAGCTGGCTAGAAAAACCTCCAAATGGAGCACGGCCACCTGGCAGTGCGAACGTGTCTTTCCTGGGACCCCCAGCAGAGAAGGAGCCACAGCTGCCGCCCCGATCCTCATTCGGGGGCCGCCCTGCCTGGCCTGCTTCCCACCACCACCCCGGCTTGATCCGGGGTCTCCGAGGAAGGGGGCCGACGGTTCCGGGGCTCCAGGGGTCAGAGCCAGCCTCCCTGCACGGACAGCCTTGGCCAGCAACGGCGGGGCGTCGGGTCCAAGCGGAGCGCCAGGAGGGCCCCGGGATGCGAGCCGTGGGCCCGGCCTCCTCCCGACTCCCCTGGATGGAATGTGCGAAGAGCTTCAATTGGAGGGAAAGGTTTTATACACATCAAAGAATCCACACTGGAGAAAAGCCATATAAATGCCTGGAGTGTGGAAAGAGCTTCAGTCTGGGGAGCAACCTTTATGTACATCAAAGAATCCACTCAGGAGAGAAACCGCATAAATGCCTGGAGTGTGGAAAGAGCTTTACTGTGAATGGAGCTCTATATCAACATCAAAGAATTCACACTGGAGAGAAACCCTATAAGTGCCCGGAGCGAAGCGAGAAGTACAGGTACAGAAAGATAAAACAAAATGAATTGGTTAAAATAATAAACTTTCCCTTTTACATGTTGCTGCCTGGGTGTGTGGAGGAAATACACCCAGTTTTGAAAACCTGGATAGCTGCTATGGACACAGGCTGGTTTGGAGAGATCTTTGGAACTGGCAAAGGGAAAATTTTCTGCTTATGTTAGCATTTAGAGGTCTTTTGGTTTTTCCCATCTTTGATTCCTGTTATCAGTGTTTCAGCGTGCAAACATTTTCAGCTCCTCTGCTAGCATCTTTGAATGTAGCAATCTTAAGCCTGGGCTGTGCGTTGTCACCCCCTCTCTGCTGTCTTTCCAGACGTTTCTGTTCCTCCTCCAGCAACTGGCCAGTGAAATAACTCATGGTTACGTCCTTCTCTTGCATGGTCTCTAAACTGGTCACTAGAATGTCCCAAGAATTGTCCAATGAACAGAGGACCAGGAGAGTTAGTTGGTCTCATTCAGCCAAGACACAGCGAAACCTCCTCCCATTACGCTGATGGAGGCCATGTTGCCTGCTTCTTCAAACCACCACAAACTACAACAAACCACAAGCCTCAACTCCTCTGGTTCTGGTACAAGCTTTCACTGGGTTTCTCTTCTCTCTGGGGCCATAAGCTGTCAGAGCGTGCAAACATTGCGTGAGGTAACCCAAGAGTAAACACAGTAAAGACAAACTTGTATCAAATGGTGGTTTACCTTACACTGTCTACAATATCATACACCAGGAACAAATATACATACACGTGCTAATACAGCAGGATCCAGCAAACAGCAGGAGGTGGAAGAGAAGAGAGAGAAAGACATTCCAGCAAAGCCTACCTTTTATATTCAGGCTCTTAAAGGGAGACAGACCATGCTGAGTCATTCCCATCATTGCACCATACACCTTTCATTAAAATTATATTACATAAGCTGTTCAACTATTAAATCAATACCTTGACAGTTGTGGTTTTTTTTATTAAAAAGGGAAAAAAGTATAAATAGAACACTGAGGGCATCCAAATGACAACTTCAGAATTTTAAATATCTGGGACTGTCCTACATGCTAGAGGCATTTGGAAAACCCCTATTGATTACATGAAAGAATTAGCACAGAGAAGTCTTTCATGACTAAGGCAAGGAATGTTATTTCCCGCAGCACTGAAATTTTGAGTTTATGGCCCACATACTTTACAGCCACATTGTTCCAATGATGGAGTGAATATCTTTGTGATAGTAACAGGGAATGGAATTGAATACAATTGCACTCATAGGTTTGCGCATCCTTTGCAGAATTTGCAAGAATGTGGATTATTTTGTAAGAAATATCGGACAAAACACTTAAAAACATGTAGTGTGGATCAAATTAAACTATTATGTCTCACAAGTTAGGACATTAAATCATCATAATACAAGAAATAGTAAAATGGTTGTTCCCACGACTGCATATCCTTGAACATTTGGGCCAATAATACTGTATACACTCACTTTATTGTTGAATGACAATAAAAAGTATCCACATCTCTTCCTTATTGCATCATAATTAGCTCTGTGATAAATATTTAAGGGGGTTCTTAGCACTAGAGCAGGGGTGTCAAATTCATGTCACGTGATGTGTCGTGACGTATCCCGGCTTTTTTGCCATTGCTGACAAGGGGTGCATGTGGTTTTGCTATGATGCATCCGGCCCATTGGCTGACTTTTTGACACCCTTGCACTATAGAAACCGTTGTGCATGTCATCCAGGGCTGCACTGGATTTGCTGGCTACAATTGGCGGTATATTAGCCACGATTAATCAATTTCTGTTTATCTCCCATGTGGGTTATTGGGTGGTTTTTCAGCTGCCTGTAAGGTCTTGTCTCAGCTAGTCCTTCAAGAAAGCAGAACTCTTGAATCAAGAGTCATTTCAAAAGGAACTTTTATTGAGAGATAGTGATTGCAGAGAAAGCAGGCAGGATCTAAAATTCCCGTGCGAAAACAACAGCTTAAAACCCACGTTTCAAAATCCTTCCCAACCGCCCAGTTTACAGGGAGCCAATGCAGAGGTGCAAAGGTGTTATGAGAACTCCGAACTGAGAAGGTAAGAAGTTCTTCTCAGAGGCTGGGATCCTCGGGAGCTGAGACAAAACAGATGGCCCCAGGCTCATCCTTCCCCCCTCCCATCCCCAGGAAGATAATCAATGGAAAAGAGGAACAGAGTAAAATGGATGCATCACAGAAAAGACCCCAAAGTCCCCCCTCCCGCCAGAAGGGCAGCGTCCCTATAGGGATCTATGGGGAGCTGACACTGCCATTTGTTCTGAAGGATTCAGCACACTCTGGGTGCATTTATAAACTTTCTGCTGAGCGTAAATTTGTAATTTTTATTGAGACCTATTTTGAGTGAACCTTTTCCAAGCACCATGAATTTTTAGGGGTTTTCTCCCAGGTGAATTCAGATCAGGAAGAATTTCTCATTGTATTCACACACAGTACAGATTTGTGCTTGTTGTGAAGAATTCTCCACACTGAAGGCATTTATATGGTTTTTCCTCACGTGTGGATTCTTTGATGCTTAGAAAGACTTCCCCTCCCACTGAAGCTTTTTCCATACTCCAGGCATTTATGTTTTCTCTCCAATGTGAATTCTTTTTTTTTAAACAAAATTTTATTAAGTTTAGGTAAATAAGGAAAAATAGGAACAATACAGGTATGGTAAAGGGAGGGCGTGGGAGGGAAGGGGAAGGGAATAAAGGGTTTAGGGTAAAATAAGGATAGGTACAATCACATATTTCAACAAACAAGCTACCGTCTGGATCATAATAATGAGTAAATATAATATTCAACCATTTTTACCGGAGCTTAGACTATAACATATTAAAAACAGTTAATAAACAAATACGTTGATCTATTAAGTAAACGCTACTAATAAAATCTCAAAAACTCCTACCAATCAAAAGTAACAAATGAAAATCAGTAAATCAAGAAAAATAATCATATCATCAAAGTATTAGTTAGAACTCGGTTAAAAATCAGTCATCTATTCTAAAATATTGAATCCTTCAAGTTCTAACGTGTCTCTAACCATTGATAAAATTTTTCCCAAGTTCTAAACTAAATTGAATCATCTTTTTCTTTCATTTCTAATGTTAGTCTATCCATTTCTGCACACTCTAAAATTTTAGTAATTATAGTCTGGTCAGATGGTAAATTCTCATTTTTCCAAAATTGGGCAAACACTATCCTTGCAGCTGTTAAAACATGCAATATCAAATAGTCATTCTCTTTACCATAATTAGGTCTTAATATTCCTAACAAAAACAATTCCAGTTTAAATTCTATCTGTAGTTTCATCATCTTTTCCAACCATCTATGGATCTTAGACCAATATTTCTCAGCGATAGGGCATGTCCACCAGGCATGGTAATAAGTGCCTGGCTATTGTTTACATTTCCAGCAAATATCCGAATATTTTTAAATATTTTTCCAAGTGCTCTTAGGGAAAATATGTTTAAACATTTTCCCTAAGAGCACTGGTGTCATATGCCATCTATAAAACATCTTATATAAGTTTTTTTTATATAATATTTTTATCCCAAAGTTTTTGCCAGTCTTTGCCAGGTATTTATATGGTTTTTCCTCATGTGTGGATTCTTTGATTCTTAGTTAGAAAGACTTCCCTTCCCACTGAAGCTCTTTTCACACTCCAGTCATTTATATGTTTTTTCTCCAGTGTGAATTCTTTGATGTCTATAAAGATTTCCTCTCTGACTAAAGCTCTTTCCACATTCAAGGCATTTATATGGCTTTTCTCCAGTGTGGATTCTTTGATGTGTATAAAGGTTTGCCCTCGCACTGAAGCTCTTTCCACACTCCGGACATTTGTATGGTTTCTCTCCAGTATGAATCCTTTGATGTCTAGAAAGGTGTCCTGTGTAGATTCTTTGATGTTGACATACAGCTCCACTCACAGTAAAGCTCTTTCCACACTCCAGGCATTTATGCGGTTTTTCTCCTGTGTGGCTCCTTTGATGTCCATAAAGGCTGCTCCTTTGACTGAAACTCTTTCCACACTCCAGGCATTTATATGGTTTCTCTCCAGTGTGGATTCTTTGATGTGCATAAAGGCTGCTCCTTTGACTGAAACTCTTTCCACACTCCAGGCATTTATATGGTTTCTCTCCAGTGTGGATTCTTTGATGTGCATAAAGGCTGCATCTATGACTGAAACTCTTTCCACACTCCAGGCATTTATGCGGTTTTTCTCCTGTGTGGCTCCTTTGATGTGCATAAAGGCTTCCCTTCTGACTGAAGCATTTTCCACACTCCAGACATTTATGTGGTTTCTCTCCAGTGTGGATTGTTTGATGTTGACGTAGGTGTTCATTCCGAGTAAAGCTCTTTCCACATTCTAGGCATTTGTATGGTTTTTCTCCAGTGTGGAGCCTTTGATGTGCATAAAGGCTTCTCCTCAGACTGAAGCTCTTTCCACACTCCAAACATTTATGTGGTTTTTCTCCTGAGTGGATTCTTAGATGTGTATAAAGTCTTCCACTCAGACTGAAGCTCTTTCCACACTCCAGGCATTTATGCGGTTTTCCTCCTGAGTGGATTCTTTGATGTGTATAAAGTCTTCCACTCAGACGGAAGCTCTTTCCACACTCCAGGCATTTATGCGGTTTTTCTGAGTGGATTCTTTGATGTGTATAAAGGCTTCCCCTCCGACAGAAGCTCTTTCCACACTCCAGGCATTTATGCGGCTTCTCTCCTGAGTGGATCCTTTGATGTACATAAAGGCCGCTCCTTTGACTGAAACTCTTTCCACACTCCAGGCATTTATGTGGTTTCTCTCCAGTGTGGATTCTTTGATGTGCATAAAGGCTGCATCTATGACTGAAACTCTTTCCACACTCCAGGCATTTATGCGGTTTTTCTCCTGTGTGGCTCCTTTGATGTGCATAAAGGTTTCCCTTCTGACTGAAGCATTTTCCACACTCCAGACATTTATGTGGTTTCTCTCCAGT